GATTTGCATTTCCCTGATGATTAGAGATGTTGAGCATTTTTTCATATGTTCATTGGCCATTATTCTGTCTTCTTTTGAGAAGTTTCTGTTCATGTCCTTTGCCCATTTTTTGATAGGGTTGTTTGATTTTTTCTTGCTGATTTTCCTGAGTTCTAAATGGATTCTAGTTATCAGCCTTTTTCAGATGTGTAGCTTGCAAAAATTTTCTCCCATTCTGTGGGTTGTGTTTGCTCTCTTGACAGTTTCATTGGCTGTGCAGAAGCTTTTTAATTTGATCAGGTCCCATTTGTTTATTTTTGTTGCTGTTGTGATTGCCTTTGGGGTCTTCTTCGTAAATTCTTTGGCTAGGCCAATGTCTAGAAGAGTATTTCCAACATTTTCCTCTAGAATTCTAATAGTTTGACACCTAAGGTTCGTCTGTTACACAGCATGAATTGATTTTTGTGAGAGGTGAAAGGTGTGGGTCTTGTTTCAGTCTTCTACATGTGGCTGTCCATTTTTCCCAGCACCATTTATTGAATAAAGATTCTTTTCCCCAGTGTATGTTTTTGTCTGCTTTGTCGAAGATTAGTTGGCTATATGAGGATGGTTTTTTATCTGGGTTCTCTGTTCTGTTCCACTGGCCTTTCTAGGTTTAGTTTTCTCCTTAGTATCTATCACGAGCTATCATTCTTTCCATTTTATTTGTTTTTCCTGTTGTGGTCTGCTTCCTCCACTAGAGAATAAGCCCTTGAGGACAGGCACATGATCAGTTTTGTTCACTGCTAAATCCTTGTGGAATTAGTGAGTGAGTGAACTGTCTAGTGGGCTAGCATGCTTGTGACAGCAGCTCAGCACGTGGCCAAAGCACTGCGAGGCCACCTGGGAGGCCAAGGCTTCCGGGGTGCCAAGCGGGCCAGATTCAGAGCCTAGGGTATCTGCTGATCACCTGTGGCAACACAACTAAAATCTTTACCCATCCTTGCTCTCCCCAGACTGTCTCCTTAACTCTGCCTTTTCATCCTTCCAAGGTTCCCATCCTCGCTGATTAGCACACTCTTTCTTAAGACATGCTCAACTTGAGGGTCTTGCTGACATGGGAGTCATACTATTCTCCAAGACATCTAACATAACCTCTGCTGTGAGCCGCTTTGTGCCGATTTTGAACTTTGACTCAGTCAACCTTCTATCTGTGTGGGCCTCCCAGGACACACCTCTCATTGTGCCTCCATTGTGACAGTCCCAGTGCCTGACACAGTGCCCAGCACCACTGCTGTATATTGAAGGAATGAATGAGATGTCACAAAACAAAGGTGCTTCACTTAATAAATTATCCTATGAAAACTAGAGAGAAAATTTTCAAAGTAGGTTTTCCTTTTGTGCCTTAGGAAAAGCTAAATTTCAGATGGATTTAAAAAATAAATGTATACTTTGGGAGGTCAGGGTTGGAGGATCACTTTGAGGCCAAGAGTTTGAGACAAGCCTGGGCAACATAGCAAGACCCCTATCTCAACAAAAAATTTAAAAATTAGCCAGACATGGTGGCACAAGCCTGTAGTTCTAGCTACTGGGGAGGCTGAGGTGGGAGGATGGCTTGAGCCCAGGAGTCCAAAGTTACAATGGACTATGACTGCACCACCACCAGTCTGGGTGATAGAGCAAGACTTTGTCCCAAGGAAAAAAAAAAAAATTAAATGTAAAACAAAAAGAGAGAGGAAAAAAAGAACTCAGCTCAGACAGGAAACCCAGAAGACAGAAAACAAAATAAAACAAAACAGAAAGTCATGTTTGCAAATTAAAAATGTGTTGTGAAAACCAAAAGGGAAATCATAGATTTGGAAAAACAATATTTTCTTTTCTTTTTTCTAGTTGAAAAATGTATTTAAAGAGTAAACTACTGATTACAAGTTGAATTAACTTTCTGGCACCTTGAAGAAATAAATAAATTCATTATTTTAAAAAAGAGAATGAAAAATACTTTGGGGAATTACCATGTAGACTACTCAAGGCAAATCATTTTTTTGAAACTACTTACAGCATGTGGAAAAGGTGTTTGTGTTTTTAAAATCCTATTCAAAAGGTCAAAAGCTTCTGTGATATTTCTTCTTTTTTCTTTGAGACAGAGTCTCACTCTGTTGCCCAGGGTAGAGTGAGTGCCATGGCTTCAGCCTAACTCACAGCAACCTCAAACTCCTGGGCTCAAGCGATCCTCCTGCCTCAGCCTCCTGAGTAGCTGGGACTACAGGCATGTGCCACCATGCCTGGCTAATTTTTTCTATATATTTTTTAGTTGTCCAGCTGATTTTATTTCTATTTTTTAGTAGAGATGGGGTCTTGCTCTTGCTCAGGCTGGGCTCAAACTCCTAAGCTCAAATGATCCACCCACCTCAGCCTCCCAGAGTGCTAGGATTACAAGCGTGAGCTACTACACTGGCCTATGGTACTTCTTTAATGTGGCCCTGTTGCTCCAAATTGCAGATAGAACCCTGAAAATGGCATCTGAACAGATTGCATTTATTGCTCATGGTTCCTCACTAATTTTTAATATTGCACTAATGCTTTAGAAAAATAATGTTTTCAAGTCCAATGACAAAGTGTGTGTGCGAATGTGTATGTATGTATGTGTGTGTGTGTGTACATGTATAAAATATATTTCTACAAAGAGCTCTGACACGTTGCCAAATATTCAAACAGGCAAATCACAAAAGAGCAAATCCAAATGGCTTGCAAATGTATGAAAAGATATGCATACTCCTTAGTTTCTAGGGAAAAGCACATGAAAGAAAAATGAAATATCATTTCATTGCCATTAGACTGGTAAAAATTAAAGAGGTAGAAATGGAGACTGTGGCAGCATTTTAGGAAGGTAATCTGGGAAAATCTATCACATTGAAAAAGTCATGTACTTGTAGACCTAGCATCCCACACCTGAGAGTCTATCCCAAGAACTAAAAGCACCAACACATACAGGATAAATGTAATGTAGCATAGATCACAGTGGCAGACACACACACACGGCAACGATCAATGGCAACGATAGAGAATTGTTGAACATATTCAAGTACCTCCACACCAGGAAATACCATGTAGTCATTGGAAAGGGCTAACTGGATTTACTTCAGTTAACTTGAAGGCATCTCATCAGGTAATAAGTGAGAATAACAAAATGCAGGAAAGTGTGTATCATATGATTCTATGTTTGCAAAACTCTGACATATCTGGAAAGGGTATTGTCTGCATATATGTTTATAAGCATCTGTTTACATGTGTCTCTATTTTTTTATTTTTCATTAAAAAAAGTGTTTGTTTATTTATTTATTTTAGAGACAGGGTCTTGCTCTGTTGCCCAGGCTGGAGTACAGTGGCGTGACCACACCTCACTGTAACCTCCAAACCTGGGCTCAAGTGATCCTCCTGCCTCAGCCTCCCAAGTAGGTGGGACTATAAGCATGCGCCACCACGCCTGACTATTCATGTGTCTCTATATTATTGTATTTGCAGTAAAGTCTATAATAGGTTGTTTTGGTTTTTTCTATTTTCAGTTGGCCAATTAATTTTGTTTTTATTTTTTTTAGTAGAGACGGGGTCTCGCTCTTGCTCAGGCTGGTCTGGAACTCCTGACCTCAAATGATGCACCGCCTCGGCCACCCAGAGAGCCACCCAGAGTGCTGGGATTACAGGCGTGAGCCACCGCGCCCGGCCTATAATAGGTTGTTAATGTGTCTCTTGGTAGAGGAGGAAGAGGGAGGTGAGGAAAAATAGAAGAAAAATAAACAAAAAAGAGTATGAAAACACAACCCCAGCATGTATCCTATAAACCATTTACACTTTTTTTGAAAATCTACACAAGTGTATACACTAATACATTTTAAAATAGTAAGACATACCAAAAACCCACCACAGGCACTCAGACACACTGCCAGTTTCCTCCTCGTTTTATAAAACTGTAAGCAGATTGTGCAAGAAACTGTGAGCTTCTACGCCACGAATGGAGGGTCCCTTGCATTTTCGAAGTTCTGCAATGGGTCGCTACTGCTTTTACTGTAAGTTCAGACAACAGGACAAACTGTAAAGCTCGGGGAAAATTCCCGACACCTCCCCGGCCGATGCGCCGCGGCTCCGCTTTCATGAGAGATCGCGTTTGTGTCCCCAGGTCCATCCCCTGTCCTCGTCCCCGTCCTCCCAGCCCTCTCTCTGCTCCACGCCCGAGTGCTCCCGCCACGCCCGGCTTCCGCGCGGGGCCACCCAGCGTGGGCGGCCTGAAGGAAGAGGGCGCCTGCCCGCCCCGCCCGCCCGCCGCACCACCCCCGCCGCCCGCCGCGCCCGCCCGCGCCCACCGCACCCCCCGCGCCGCCCGCCCGCCGCGCCAGCCCGCCCGCCCCGCCGCGCCCGCCGCCCCGCCCCGCCCCGCGCGCCCCGGCGCCGCCCCGCCCCGTCCCGCCGCCCCCGCCCCGCCGCGCCCCGCCGCGCCGCGCCCGCCGCGCCTCACGCACCCCGCCCGCCGCCCCCGCGCGCCACCCGCCGCCGCGCCCACCCCCCCGCCGCGCCACCGCCCGCCGCCCCGCCGCGCCCCGCCCCCCGCCGCGCCCGCCCCACGCAACCCCGCCCCGCCCCGCCGCGCCCCGCCCGCCCCGCCGCGCCCCGCCCCGCCCCGCCCGCCCCCGTCGCCCCGCCCGCGCGCCGCCGCGCCCCCGCGCGCCCCGCCGCGCCGCGCCCCGCGTAGTTTGGGTTAGCGACGCGGAGGAGGATGGCTGCGGGGTCACCCAAGGGTCGCCACTGCAGTCATCTGAAGGACCGAATGGCAGCATGCGCCAGAGAGGCGGCTCACACCTGCGATTTCAGCACTCTGGGAGACGGGCGGCATCGCTTGAGGGCAGGAGTGCAAGGCCAGCCTGAGCAAGAGCGAGACCCCGTCTCTACAAAGAGTTAGCTGTAGTCCCAGCTACGCGGGAGGCTGAGGCAGGAGGATCGCCTGAGCTCCGGATTTTGAGGTTGCGTGAGCGAGGCTGACACCACTGCATTCTAGCCCAGGAGACTATCTCAAAAAAAAATAAAATAAAACAGCAACAAAAATTAAACAATAACAAAAACCGGATACACCAACTGCACATGACGGAAAAGCAGCAGAAGGCACCCCCAAATTGCGGAGGATACCTCCGACCCAAAACAGATACGGGAAAGGCCCAAGTCCAGATGCAGCGATCCGTGGGGGAGGCCGTGAGGGCACAAGTTCAGCCAAACCACCTGTCACCCCACCTGCGGCATATGCCGTCCCCTTGCCATGCCAGGGTCTCGCGGTGCTCTGGGCGGCCGCCCTGGCCAGTGCGAGGCTGCTGCACTGCATGATGGGCCTGGCTGGGTGCCGGGAGCACACGATCCTAGACACCGGAGTGTTTGTCACTTCCTGGGGAAAGAGAAGAGGAAATAGCTGCTACCACAGGGCCGAGAGACCAGATAATCAGGAGATGAAATTTATGCCTTCAACAAACTGAGCCTTCACTACGTGGAGGCGCTTTTCTAGGTACGGGGCTCGAACAGTGGAAAGCAGGCACTAACTCTTGCCCTCACGGAGCTTTCCTTCCACTGGGAAGAGACAGGTGCCAGCGAGAGGGAGAGAGGAGGAGCAGGAGGGCAGGGAGCAAGGCCCTGGGAGGAAGGGTTGCTGGTGGAGGGGCGCAGGTGCCAAGGCCCCGCTGCCAGATGCACGCAGCCTGCTTCCAGGAGACACAGGGATGACTGAGACTGGGGAGACTTTCCAGAGAAGGTGACATCTGGTTGGGCTTTGAGAGTGAGAAGGGTTCTGGCGGAGAATGGCCAGGCAGGATGGTGACAGCAGCAGCGAACCCTCACAGCTGAGGAGGGCTGGTGTATTTGGAAATGGCCGGCACACCGAGAGCTGAGTCTGAATTCCGCTCATTTGAGGCCCATTTGCAGGCGAGCTTAGGCAGAAACAAAATGGGAAGGAATCAGCAATCAGGTTGGGGTTCATATCTCCTGATTCAGGGGCCAGTGATGCCACAAGACTCCAGGGGAACTGAGAGAACAAAACCAACACCCACTCTCCATAATTAATTTTGACTGATTTTTGTTTTGTTTTTGCATTTACTCCTTCACAGAATGACTGATTTTCGAATCACCTTCTGACCAACCAATTTCCAGGAAGTTGCAATCCCTGAGTGCTGCTCCTCATAGCTCCGATGGGAGGTGGCTGCTCACCCTGACACCAGCCATTTGGGAGGCTCCCTCGGCCATATAATGCCCCTTCCAACCTCCTAAGAGGTCGAAACTCTACCTTGACATCCACTAAATGGATGAAAGAGACTGACGATAACAAGTGTTGATGAGAATGTGGAGCAACTAGAACGCCCATGTTCTGCTGCTGGGGGTCTACATTGGTGGGAACACTTTGGAAAGCACTTTATTAGTATCTGTCAATGTTGATGATGTGCATTGTCTATGCCCCCACAATTCCACTGCTAGCTATATACCAAACAAATGTAAACGCATGTTCACCAAAATCCATGTCCTACAGTGTTCATAGCAGTGCTATGAACAGTTCATGCAGTAGGTATAAACTTGGCTCTACCTAAATTCTTACTCACGGTAGAGTGATTCAGTAAATTGTGGTTTATACACACCAGGTCATACTGAATAACAATGAACATGAGTGAAGGACACTACGGGCAACCATGAGGACGACTCTCACATCTGTAATGCTGAGTAAAAGAAGCCAGGCACAAACCAGGCACAACTAAATCTTGAAGTAGGTTACCCTTTGGGGTGTCTGACTGGATGGGGGTGAGGGGCTCTGTGAGTAGGGAACTGAGTTTCCAGATATATGAATGACTCTAGCCCACCCCATAAGAAGCTAGCCCCAGTGACCTGGGGAGGCATCAGATATTTCAGTGAGGCACTTGGGTCCTCCAGCCCCAGGCAGGCCATCACAGCAATGCCATGTAGGGCAGACATGAGCCATCCCTGATGGCCCTGCCCAAATTCCTGATCTACAGAATTGTGAATAATTTTAAAAAATTGATCTTATTTTAAATAACCAAGTTTTGCAATACAGAAATAGATTACTGCAACAATTTTTATCCTTGAGGACAGGGACCAAATCTTTTTTTTTTATTTAGGATATTAAAAATATTTAATATAAACACTGTATTATATGCTAACATATAAATACATTTCAACATTCTATTGTCTGAATAAACTAAATAAAATATACCATAAAGTTTCCTACCAACTCATATAAGATGTAGGACAAACTGTTTATTAAATTAATTTGATAATTCCTAAATAAGTGATTAACATTTTGAAATTGTTGGGTGACTGTCTGTCCAACGTGGCTCTCACTAGTGAGATGAGGCTCTGGGTGCCAACTCCACAACAGGAGCCGGTCACTGTCTTCTCAGGACACCTTTACACTCAAAGTCATGGGATAACTGGTGTTCTTGATACACAAAGAATGTCTCAATATTAACAATGTTGTTCCTGGTTCTGAGTCTTCTCTTAATCCTTGTAATGTCAGAGATTTTTTAAAATATTCAATATCATTATCAGGAATATATAAAATAATTTATTGGAAGATCATCATTTAATTGGTTGGCATAATTTTATTAATTTTTGTTCATTTTCAATCCATAGGGCTTCTTTTTTGGACAAGCTTCAGAATTTTTGTTTGCTTGAGACACTGCAGCCTCAAACTCCTGGGCTGAAGTGATCCTCCTGCCTCAGCCTCTGGAGTAGCTGGGATTACAGGTGCATACCATAACGCCCGGCTGTTTTATACTTTTAGTAGAGACAAGGTCTCCCTCTTGCACAAGCTGGTCCCAAACTCCTGAGCTCAAGCAATCCTCCTGCCTCGGCCTCTAAAAGTGCTAGGATTACAGGCGAGAGCTTATCCTGAAAACTCAATTTTTATCCTTAGCAATAGACAGTATTGTTTTTCTTGACATGGCAGACTCACTTCATTCAAATTCAAGAAAATGTCTTTTAATACCGAAGGCTGAATAGCCCATTGGTCAGTTGTTCTTTCAAGTAAAGGTGGTGTTCCATGCAAACAGTGGCCAAGTCTGCAGACAACCTGGACACCTGCACTAGTGCTTTTCCAGGAGACACCATCGTACTTCGGTGCGCAGAAGTGCTTTGCGGGGACTTCCCTTCTTGTCACACGTGATCTAAATAACATGTACTTGAGGGTTGATGTTTAATGCATTATTGTTACTGCTCCACCAAGGACATTTGTATGGGAAACTGGCTTTTTTTTTTAATGTTGAGTGTGTGGTGGTGAAGAATACAGTATGAGTGTCACAGTTCTGTGTCACTGCCCGGATTCCTGCTGAGGTGCCAGAAGTTTCACCAGCTATAGGTTTTGCATCATGAATGCAAATCTTCACACGGTGACAAAGGCAATCCACGTCTTAGTGCTGTTGAGAAAGTAGTTTGTACCTCACAGAATCCTCAAAGTGTCTCAGGAACACTGGGGCACCAGCGCATGATGTCTTGTGAACTGCTGGACGCGTGCGACACAAGGGCATCTCAATGTCAGCCTCTCTCTATTTAACAGAAGTGAGCAGGGCGGCTGTCAGGCCCCAAGGCCTAGGCAGGCTCAGTTCAGAGCCTTAGCAGGCGTGCCCGGGAAAGCCATTAGCTGGGCCTGGTTCATTCACAGCAAACATTTCCTTCCCCCGGCATCTCCTGGCTCATGCTCCCTGGGGTCAAACCCAGGCCTTTCCTGGGAAGAGCTCACTGACATCTGGTGGAGCAGACATGCCCAGAACTGACTCCCAAGGATGCCAAACTGGATACCGTGTGAGGACAGCTCAGGGGGTACCAGCTAGACTGGGCATCAAGGAAATCTCTGGGAGGAGGGAATGGAGGAGAAGGTGAGCCAGTCTGCAAGGCTGTCTTTGGGCAGAGTGTAGGGGAGCACATTTTAAATTGTGGGCATAGCCGGGCGTGGTGGCTCACGCCTGTAATCCTAGCACTTTGGGAGGCCGAGGCGAGCGGATTGCTCAAGGTCAGGAGTTCGAAACCAGCCTGAGCGAGACCCCGTCTCTACCAAAAATAGAAATAAATTAATTGACCAACTAAAAATATATATACAAAAAATTAGCCGGGCATGGTGGCGCATGCCTGTAGTCCCAGCTACTTGGGAGGCTGAGGCAGTAGGATCACTGAGCCCCGGGAGTTTGAGGTTGCTGTGAACTAGGCTGACACCATAGCATTCTAGCCCAGGTAACAGAGTGAGACTCTGTCTCAAAAAAAAAAAAAAAAAAAAAAATTGTGGGCATAGCTTAAGCAAAGGCACCAGCTCTGAGGTCCGAAGCCCACTGAGGAAGGAATAGGTTAAGGTCTTGTGTTCCAAGATCTGGGAGGCTAGGTCAGTCAGGGCCATAAACGCTAAACACAGAATTTGGACTTTATTCAGCAGACAACAGGGAGTTGATTAAACATACAGGTGATCCTATATCTAAAGCAAATCCCTATTTTCCTAATGAAAAAAAATTTTAAATTAAGGTATCGAGTATTTAAACTTCTAATAATATCAATGAAATAGTCAGATGTCTAGTTGTAATATCTAATTTATTATTTTAGTTACACATGCATATTTAAAATAACATTATATATTATACATTAATACAAAATATTGCTTTTTTCCCATTCTCATATTTCAAGTAACAATTTTATTCACTCCTCTACACGCATCAATGTCTTCATGATGTCTGGAACCAGTTTCTTGAAGTGTATTTCCTTCCCTGTGTGTCAGCTGTGACACAGCACTTTTCAAATACATGTCTGACACCTTCACTCGAAAATCTGACCCCATGTTAACAAGTCACCACGTTAAAACCATCCTCTCCCACCCTCAATTTATCATGTAGGTGTATGTTTGTAATCATCACACAAAACCACTTACTTAGGCTTTCAAAATCACTCTTTGAAACGCAGATTTCCAAAACCTAATTCTCATAATAGAAGGGAGTATGTTCCTGGAATGGTGACTACATTTCTTCCCTCCCCTCTTTTAACCCATTCCAGTAGGAGTCTCTAACCACACAAAACTTGCACTGTTTGGCATTGTTGTGGGCTACAACTGTGAGGAGAAACTAGAGGTAGTGCAGTTGCAGGAGATGACAACATTTGGTTATGGGCGTGAGCGAGGACTGAAACACCATTCCTGGGAACAGAACAGGCCAGAGGGTTGCAGGCCGAGTTGCTGGGCTGATCATCATCACGAACAGTGACGTTTCCTGGGGTGGGAATGACAGAGTGTAGAGTGCAGAAAGCTGGGAGTGGTGTATCCCAGACTTGGAGAAACAGCCAGGAGCAGAGGCTGACAGACAGCAGAGGCAAGAGGACAGACTTCCAGGTGGCAAGGGTGTGAATGAGGACAAGAAG